ATGGACAGGGGTCCTCTGGAGGGGCTGCTGACCATAAGGGTGGTTGGCTGAATCACTGCCCTCCTCCTCGTGGGATGCCCTGCCAGCTTTGATCTCCGGATCCGATGCCCCCGTGGCTGAGCAGCTGCTCACAGGGAATTTTCCAAAAGAGCTCTTGTCTCTGAGCTCGTTAGCTCTTCTGAGCTCATTAGCCCTTCCTCTTGGCCTGAAGCACCCAAACCCCAGTGACATTTGCTGCTGGTTGAAAAACCCCACCCATTATTTGGCTCTTCTAGTGGAGGATGAGATTAAGAGATTCATGGTATAATACAGCCTTGTGGGGACTTTGGATTGACAGCTGGAGTAATTCGGGGAATAATGCCATGTGTGACAATTTTGACTTTGCACAAGAAGCCTCATGAGCTAGAGGCAGATAAATGGGGTTATCAGCTACAACACGAAAACTTGGTCTTAAAGTTGTTTTAGTTCCATGTAAATAAAGCCATAAGACATGTTCAGGCAGGTATCACCGACTAAAGAAAAATACAAAGCTTTGCTATCTTTCAAACTGCTCAGACTTTGTCTTTTCTCTATCCCAAATAGAAATACTTTAATGTGGTTTCTAGTTCTTTTATTTCTTTTTATTTACCTGAGAGGCCCATAGCTACTATGAAACATCCCCCACTGAACATCCCCCCACAATGAACATTATTGATGGATTGCAAAGAAATGCCATAAAAATGGGTACCAAGGTACTGTAGCAGAGGAAAAGACAATGAAAATTTAACTGAAGCAATTGGAGCTGATGTTGTCAATGCAGAAAAAAAAATGCCATCAGGATAAAGCAGCTCAGTACACCTTTACTCACAGCTACACCATGGATTAAAGTACAGAGAAATATGGATCTCCAGCTTCATATCCAAAATCTCCTTCCCTATCAATATCCCATAGCCCCGTACCCACCAGTGACCTCTCCCTGTGCCAAAGATACTGGCAAGAGCTGAACCTTGGCTTTACTCCATTCCAAAAATCCCATGGGACTGAGAGAGGAATAGAAACTGGCTACTGTCCTGGACTGGGAAGAAAGCTCTGAGGTCTGAAGGAGCAGATTTGGTGCCATTACTCTTAAATGCTAGAGACACCAGGGTCAGCAGACTCTGGAGAGTTCGTGGAGGAATTTTGAGTGAGTTCTGCACTGCAGAGCTTACTCAGGTGGACAGACTCATTAACAACAATAAACTTCCCATTTCCAGGCAAGGCTTGTAAAAGTACCAGGCTAATCACTGACTCAAAGCTGAAGTAACATTTAAAAATCAGTTTTCCTGCACATTCATGCCAAACAAACCAGATCTGAGTTTCTGCAGACACTCAGAAGTCTCATTTGCTGTTTCTGGGCAGCAGGGAGGCTGTTGCACAAACAGCCTTTGCTACAGCTTCCAGTGGGCTGAAAACAGGCTTTCCCAAACCATTGCTGAATGCTGCCCAATTGCATTTTGCCTCCCTGCTTATTTATTGTTTTGCATTAGGTGACCCTGCTAGTGGTGAGGCTTTGCATGGAAAGCATCAAAAGGAGGGTCAGAAGTTATCACAGCTCTCTTATCTCGTGGCCAACATCATTTCCCAATCACTGCACATCTGCCTTGCATTTTGTGAATTTTAGCACGTTGAAATCATTGTGGCTCAGAAAAGGTTTTCTGGAGCCTGCTTGGTTGGTTTACACGCAGATCACTGCTGGTTCATGTCCTGCTCTCCAAGAGCTCAAGTACTGGAGTTACCTTGCAGTGCCATTGACACAGGAGGAAGGTCTGAGTGCTGGAGTGTCTGCAAGCCCCAGACCCTAAAGCTGAAGTGAAAGTGGTGCTGAAAAGCACCACCAAAAAGGGGTCAGAGAGAAGGAAGGACAGAACAGAACATAGCAAGCAGTGAACGAGTTCAGGCTCCGAAATAGAGTGTTACTATTTCACTTATAATAAAACAATAAGGAACTTTTTGCTGAACAGGTAAGAGAAAAGACAGAAGGGAATACCAGCTTTGAATCAAATTACATAATTCTCTCCTGATAACAACAGGTAATTTGTGTTGGAAATTAATAAAAAATGCAACAATGGAACTAAACAAGGAAAAAATATAGTCATGATAATGGGACAATTCTGCAGCATTGACTGGAAGATATTGCTTAACTGATTGACACTGATTTTAGACACTTGCTACAACCTACAGCAGGTTAAAAATAAAATATCACAAAGTTTGGGTTTTGGAGGGAGAACAGGAGCAACTGAGGCACAGCAGTTTGTACACATGAGGCTGGAAAATAGTTTGGGGCAGGGATTTGTGTTGTATTTCTACACCTGAACCCTATTACCAAGAAATATTATTAAGTCATGAAAAGCTGGTAAAAAAAAATAAATTCAATTTTTTGGAAATAATACTGTTGAAGACCTGCATGCTCAGGAGTACTGCTGCTCATTCAGAGTTTCATTTGAGTTTCCAGGATTAGAGACAGAGCAAAATAAGCCCTTCCATTACCCTGGGCAGCCTGCAGTAAACGCGAGGGTGACTTTCTTTTGACCTGCTGGTCTTGATTTTGGCATCATGCCCTGATTTGAGTAAACGTGACTCACTTGTTTTCTACAAAAATACAGTTTCTGGTTGTTGGGTGATTAACTATTTGTCCTTCTGCAGTCCTTCCTGCTCACCCTCAGTCCCACACTCCAGTGTGGCAGGAGGGATGAACAGTAAATTTGCTGGAACAACACCACCAGCAAAACCAGCACCCTGTGACTTGCATATCCTAAAAACCACAGTGTGCTTATATTTAAATTTAAAACCCACGCTTTCCCAATCTGAATGATTGCCATAACAGAGACACCGAGGAGTTAATGCTGAGTGTGGCTCTGGATGTTGTCAGAGCCTTTGATAGCCCGTCCTGTGTCACTTCAGGTGTTTCTGAGTCCCCCATTTGAGAGCCCGTGGGGCTGGAGCTGATGAGCACAGCCAGATCCTCGGCTCCTGGCATCAGCAGCTGCCAGAGAAACCCAGCAAGATGGGGATAGGGAGAGCAGCAGTCTCTCGGTGGGAAAAATGCCTGTTTGTCCCAGCTGAAATGCTTTGCAGCAGCTTTCAGACTTTGACAGCCGCCTGGGGAAGTGTGGGGGGAATTTGGGGAGATCCAACCACTTCACCTCTCTTCTGACCCCAAAGAGTCACTGATGTGTTTGTGCATATGGGCCAGAACGAGCCCACTGCAATTTCACAAGATATTTTTTTCCAGGAGGAGCAGTAATCTTGGTGGCTCCATGCTCTGGGGATCATGTCTGGATGCCCCAAGGGACTGAACATCAAATCTTTGAGTAATTAGGGGTCAACACAGCCAAGCAAATTCAAATCTTTTCTCTTGTTTGTTTGGAGGGTTCCCCATCAACACAGATCCATGATACTGCCCAGTTTAGGTGAGAAACTGCCAGTTTCTGTGCATGGACACAGACCTCCTAGACCTTATCAACACGCTCAAAATTAGATATTGTCTTCCTATCTATTCTTTTCTTTCTACTCTGTGAGGTTCTTCTAATGCCATAATTTTGTTTCTGAAAATCATACTGTTATTTAACTATTTTAAATTGCTATATACCCATGAATACAAATCTCTTATCTATTTCCATATTATCTGAGGTATTTCATAATTTTATAATCTTAAATTATTGCTTTCTTTGTAAAGACATCATCTCAGACATAACTGAATAGCTGAAATACAGCATTTTAAAGTTAGAACACTCAGGGCTTTTTACCCCCCTGTCTGGAGCTCTCCTTCTCCTTTAGGTAACGTGCCAGGCAAGTTGCTTTTAACTTTTTGCACTTCTTTTTTTTTAATTTATTTTGCAAGGCTTCAATAATTTATTTTTCAAAATGTTAGTGTGAAGCTAAATTTATTAACTTTCTTTTGGGTGATGGAACACAAACTGTGATCACTTACTGAGCCTGGCAATCAACTATAATTTGAATATAATGTGGCCTCAAAATTAATAGCCCTGAAACAAATAAGAATAACAGACTCTAAAAAAATTACCAGAATAGGAGCCCAGCAGGCTCTCTTTAAATGTGTCTTTAAAAAAAAATTGCATACTAATAATCCTATTATTCACTGGAAAAAAAGAATATCTTTCTATGTTTATTATATGCCCTGGAAAAGCCGCAGACTTTTACAATACTGCTTCTCACAAATCACTTCAGTTTAATGATGTTACTGTACATTTCATCTCACATTTGTGTAAATATGTTTATTTCATCCTGGAGAGAGATTTTATTTTAACTTCAAGATTATGATTTCTTACAAGTCTGTCACAGAACAACATGAGCTCTGCCAAATGGAAATACATAGACCCCCCCACCCCCTACCCCGTATGTTTAAAAATTAAGGATTTTTTCCTCCAGCACAGAAAAACAGTTATTTATTCTGTCAAAGAAGGGAAGGACACTGATCAGAGACAATAAAGTTAACTGCTGCCTGAAGTCATAAACATCTGGTGGCTATTTTAATTGCATTGTGAACTAACCACAAAATCGTCCCCTAAAGAATAAAAATATTTCCCCTGTGCAATACTGTATTTTAGAATTCTTCTCTTCTGAATCAATGTCAGACCTGATTACAGCACAATGAAGTCTGTGTTTCATGCCTGCATTTTCTTGAAAACACCACACACTCTTATTACAATTGCAGGATTACTCAAAGCATCTCATGCAGACAAATTTTTCAGGTTACTTCTGCGAACACTGATTAGAGATAAAATATAACGCTTAAATCATGTAGTTTGTTTGCAGGTAAGTCAGAGAGATCAGTATGTCTGTACAGAAATACTGGACATTAGAAAGCACACAGACAATCACACAAGCACACAAATTTGTGTATATGAGATATCTGTGTGTATATATATGCATACACACACAAAAAATGCAGATATTCAGACATATATATGCATATACACGTATATATAAGAGGAATTTAAGTAAGTAGCAATACAACCTACCTAAATGTGAATAGAAATTGTTGTTAATAAAATACTTGCATGAGTTGTACGGGGACCTTCTAAATGTCTGTGCTTCCTGGGGAGACCAAATGACCTCTTTTTTACAGATACCAAGATCAAAGCTCTTGGTTTAGATACTCCAGCTGTCCCTCTCGTTGGCATTTGACATGCAACCCAGTCCATTTAAAATCAGGGGGCATGTAAACATTTTAACCCTTGGCAGCAGTATCTGAGAAAGATGCTGGCAATAAATGGTCGTAACTGCCTGGGCCAAATCACATTTGGTGTCCTCCCTTTGAAGTCCATGCAGGCACTGTACCCTATGGTTTTGACAAAGAGCCAAGTCCAAAAAAAGGATGTAGGCTCTCGAAGCTGTCCGGATGTGGACTTTGGGATCCAGAGTGGCTCCGTGCAGCTGAGCAGTTGCCTCTGAGCTTGCCACAAGACTCCCTGCCTGACCTTGGAGGTTTTTTGCCTTGGCTCTGCACTGGTGCACTCCCTGCATTGCCCCAGCACTCAAATCCCAGTGTTTTTGTACAAGCACAGGGGCACCTTCATCCCTTGTGAAACCTCCTTTGGGAGGGTGGGTGTGCACAGGGGTAACACATGCTCATAGGATTAGACTCTGCTCTGAATTTAGTCACAGCTATTTATTTTATTTTTTTTTTTTCTAAACCACTGCCACAGGAGGGTGCCATTTTTCTGTTTAAGCTCCAGTTGAGCCACGGGGTTCAAATACTCTGGATCCATCATGCCCCAGGAGAGCAGGAGGTGATGGATGTGAGCCCAGGACAGGTGTCCTTGCATGCCCACACCCTTCCCACCAAAACCAAATCAGGCCCGTGGAGACAGATAGACAAACAGCATCAACAAGATCCCATGGGTAAAAGTGCTACTTCTGATCCTCACCTACAGTTGTTTTCTGTCACATTTTGAGAAGAGATAGCAATGAAAAACCAGGACCCTTCTCTTCTGCAGCCCTACTTTGGAAGAGTGAGTCTTTTCTCTCTCTCACTTACCAGTCCTTGGAGAAACAGTGGTGAGCCCCATCCTATGTGACTCCAGAAGGTACTTGGCTTCTGCACTAGGTACTCATTGTCTGGAGAAAGGATGAGCTCCACACCCAGATAAAGTGTGTCTCATGGGCTTGTGTGTGGCCTGAATGCCATTCTCCCATGCTGAGAGTCCAGCTGCTTGACCCACCTTCATTTTGGGCTCAGGTACTTAAATATGCTTTCCTTTAAAATGACAAAGTGTTTAATGTGTCCCAGGACACCTGTGCAGAAGCCAGCTGTGATGCAAAGACAGGCTGATGTGACACTGGTTATCAGAAGTTAGAGCAGACCTGTCACACAGATGCCTCTTAAGGTGGTGCAGAACTTGTTCAACACCACATATGGCCATGGACAAGAGGAGGAGGGCACTGCAGGCAGGGGCACATCCCTCCTAGAGACACTTTTGTGGTAAGGAGGGTGCTGAGAAGCCAGCTCTGATGGTTGCTGACTGGCACTGGAGTGGGGAGCTGGATGAGTTGCCAGGAACTGGTCCTCAGGGAAAAACCTGAGAACTCATTCACTTCTTGGAGAACACTTGATGTAATCAGCTGAAATGGCAGAAATAATGCCAGTGGCAGAGCCCCAGGATTTCCCTTTCTCTAACTATCAAAATTTTTGCTGCATCCACTAATTTGATTTCTCTAAACATCTGAGTTTCAGGCCCATCTCCTCCTTGTTCCTCCTGGTGGCATTTTCCTTGTGGACAGCCACTTCCATGAAGGATTTGCCTCCTCAATACCTTCTTTTAAAAGTTAGGATTCTAGAAAGAGATAAAACAATCTAACTACCCCATTTCAGAGTTTAAACAAATACACTTGGAGCTGCAGGGTTTGGTTGTTATTAACTGATTGTAATTGTATCAGTGCATTTATTACACTTCCAGATGATGTTACAGAAAACTATTGGAGAAGGATTTCCTAATAGTGCAAGCATAGATGGAAATATTGAAAGAAACAACGTCCAGGACTCCTATAATTAAAACAGAGTTGACTACAGGTGTTTGTAGTCAAGGGATTGAAGAAATCTACATAATATCTTCAGTATTGGTGCTGTTTGAGAATCACTGCCTAACCAGAAAGGCTGAAACATGGATTCCAATCCTGCACTCCCTATCAGTTGCTGATATGGATCACTGGTCACAGCTTTAATTGACTGATTACACAAAAGCTCTTTGAAAAATCAAGACTAAGCCTCTACAAAGTGTGAGCTGCAGTTCCTAGGGACTGGCTCCAACCAGAGCTTCAAAATTCATGTAGAGTCACCAAAATTGGATTTTCAGCCTGAAAAGCAAAACTTGGAGGATTTGTCCTGTGCATTTATAGAGTCTGAAGGAATAATGGATAAGACTAGAGCAGCCAGATGAAACATTAATAGCCATGGTGTAAATCAAGCAGCAGTGTTTAAAAATATATTTTGTGTCTGGCTTCAAGTAAAAAAAAGGATTTAGATCAGAATTTATGTTAAGTTTGGAAGATCAGCTTTTGATTTGCTGTTAACAAAATTCAGATGAATATCAGGGAAAATAATATCATGAAGTAGCACACCTCTGGAATATGATTTCAGTGACGGGGCTGTAAGCTTGTTTTCCTTTTACCTCTTTCAAAACCAATTAAATTAACTGGTGCTGTACCTACTTGCAGCATAATCTCAAATTTAATTCTGCAGATGGCCTTGAGACATCTTTTCGTCTGTTGCCTTGAAAACAGGAAGAAAATTAGAGGCAGAGAAAGGGAAGCATAATCAAAATTCCTGGTAGCAACTGAAGATCTGACTATCAAACTGCTTCATTGTCACAATTATTTAGAAACAAGCCATCTCACTTCCAGTGTGTGCTATGATCTCATGTGGCAAATGGTAGAATATCAGATCAGGAGAACAGAATGTATGTAATAAATAAGTCACATCAAGCACAATAAGATTTTGTGTTCTATTTATGCAATATCACAATTCCTATTTCAAGAGAGCTAAAGTATGTTGGAAAAGACCCTCAGAGTTTTCATGGACATTTCAGCAGACCAAGAACAGAAGCCATTTTACCACTGCATCCTAATAAATTCTACTAAACCAATTGGTTTCTCCTTCTCCTTCTCCTTCTCCTTCTCCTTCTCCTTCTCCTTCTCCTTCTCCTTCTCTTAAAATTCAGAGAGAATATAAATGAGTTAAAGCAACAAGGAGTAAAATTACCTTCCTGTAAATCTTTGACAACTTCTCATTTATGGAAAAAGACAAATGTAATTTGGGACAGCAGATTTGTACTAGAATTTGAACCTTTACAACTGGAATGTCCACAATGGGTGGCAGCTGAAAGATCTGTTTTATAACCCCAACACTCCTTTAACAGCCTTGCATGCAATAATTCCTGCATTCAATTTCCTGTACATGTGTACAACAGCTTGCCCAAGGGAATTGGGCTCACCTAAAATCCTTCTTTTTCTGAGCTGTTGCAATTTCTAGTTACTGGAGGAACAAAAAGGAAGGAAAAAAATCCCGTTTAAAAAAACCCTCACTGTAAGTTCCTGTACATAAATACAGTAAATACTTACTGTATTTATGAAGCAATGAACAAGTTTGCATTTCTTGCTTCCAGGGAAATGGAAAAGATCACAGCAAGATCCCACCAGGCTGCTCCACAACTCCAATGGCTGGAGGACAAGCCCTCTTCACTGTGAGAGCAAAGCTCTCCCACAAAAAGTTGTATTCCCCTTTCATCTCTTCCAGTGGAGAATGGAAGAGGAAGGGGAAAAATGAGTTAAGCTCAGCTCTGCACCTATCGGGGATAGTTCTGAGCCAGCTTTGACAAGAAATGGTGAACATGTCATTCGGTTTAAAATATTTATCTTCTTCACAGTAGAACTGCTCTGTCATGGCACACACTGTATAACTGAGAATTTATTATTTGGCATGGGAAATCATAAGGAAATCCTTTACTTAACAATGGAAAGTGTTTTCAGCCCATTTAATAACTGACACTTCCTTGTCTATTGTTGTTGGGTTTGATGTGGGAGCTGCTGGAGGGAATCAGTAGCCCTGGCTTTGCCCAGAGGACTGACCAGACAACTGATAAATCTCCTCTGGAGGCATAGTTTGTTCAGAGCATTAAAAATAAATCAGCTACTGAACTACATAAGGAAATTGTATGCACTTGGTTATCTCTGTTAACTAAAGCTCCAGGCTTTTGGAGCTGGCTTTTGGCAGACAAGGAGTCTCAGTGCTTTCAGGAAAACCATTTACGCCCTGTTCTGGGCACAAGCGTCAGCCTCGCCAGGGCTTTTAAGAGACATGTCATGCAGGGCTCGTGGGCTTGAGGTCATCTCTCTTGGATAATAGTGCTGCCATCCAGACACTGCCAGCAGATGGGATGGCAGTAGCTCCACGGGTGGAGGTCACCTATATTTAAAGTCTGTGTGTGCCTATGGCTCCCTATCTGTATGTATGAAGCCCATAATATTTAACAGCTCCTCAGCCTGAGGTGTAATACAGGTGTTAAAGCTTTGAGCTAAGACTGATCCATTTTTGGGTTTGTAACAGATGTCACCTCTGGCTTTGGAACAGTCACATTCTCCTGGAGCAACTCAAGGACCCTTTGCCCACTTTGGAATGAGGGTGGTCTCCTGGATGGGTGAGCACTGCACTGCAAGGGACTTGCAGGTGCAATTGTAACCAATTATATCTATTATATCTATTATATAGATGGTGGTAATAACTTGCTTTCCTTCCCATTCTTTCAACAAACAATAACCACCTTAAAAATCATTTGACCAGGAAATGCTGCTCGCTGCACCCAAATACAATAAGAAGTCAAACAAAGCAGTCAAGATACTAATCAATTTTTCCAATTCCTTTAAAAAAACTTTGAGTTGTGTGGCAAAATAAACTCCCATCTGGATAATTTTTGTTGACACAATAGTGTACATTGTGTAGAGAAGCTGCCTTCTTTGATTTGCAAAAGGTAAATGGTTCTTAGCTCTCCAGCTGCATTATCAGCGAGAGCATTAGTGTGGCTGCTGTGCCATTTATCTCCTGTG